TTAAAAAGAGCTCGGGGGTTGTGCCTATTAGTCATAATAATGATAGACAAAAAGGCAGATTTGGCAGCTTTAACAGACTTTTGATACTTAGATAGACAATTATGGAGGATGTCCAGAGAGACGTGGAGTTTGTCTTTCCTCCATTTTCTTTCAGCACAACGACATTCACGCCTAAGGGCGCGAGTAGTATCATTTAGCCAGGGTTGTTTAATCCTCAGAGGTGCCACAGAGTTAAGAATGTCAGCGCATGCAGTATAAAAGAGGTTAGCAAGCTCATCCGCTGATAAAACCCCATTACACTTAGCATCAGAGAGGGGACAGTCAAGGAAAGCATCAATGAAGTGGGCGATTGACTGGGAGTTAATTGTGCACGTTTGCCGCACAGGACCATCACAGTTCAAACCCACATCGCTCGCTACAGTATCAAACAAAACCGGGAAGTGATCAGAAATCCCAGAGTCCTTTATGTCCGTGATGCAAATATCCAGACCATAAGACCAAATCAAGTTTATGACCTTTAGTGTGAGTTGGTTCACTTACCCACTGGGTGAGATTGAGGGTGCTAATAAGAGCGAGGAAATCCTTAGCTAGCGAACTGTCCTCACAGCAAACATGAATGTTGAAGTCACCAACAATTAGTATACGGTCATAACGTAGCAGAAGGCTCCCCAGCAGATCAGCAAATTCTGGAAGAAAATCCTTGATAAGTTTCGGGGGCGATACACCACAGCGCAGAGGATGGAGGGGACGCAGTTCACTTCCAATAACTGCACCTCGAAACTGGGGTACAGAACAGGTGGCAGCTGCCAACATCGAAGTTTGTCTTTAAAAACTGAAGCTAGCCCTCCACCTCTTCCAGTGGTCTGGGGTGAGCTAATAAAAGCGTGGTCAGGTGGGAGCAGCTCCGAGAAGGGAAAAAGTTCGCCGGGGCGAAGCCAAGTTTCCGCCAGTCCCGATGATAGAATAAGATCATTTAAAATAAAAGTCGTATTCGCCAGTGACCTTGTATTTAGCAAGGCCATACGGAGAGTGGTCACACTGTTACTGGTAGGAGAACGGCGCAGCAGGCGAAGGTTGAGATTCGCACCTCCTCTGGAGGACCGCACCCAGCACCGAGCGGGTGGAAGATCAGCTGGGAGGTCCAGGTAACCATAAGGTCCAACAGGGCGAATCCAGCGATGACAGAACAGTCTGAAGTTAGCATGGTCCCGGAGGGCAGGAATAGATGACAAGATGTTTATAGAATAGCGATCATTTGTCCCAACATAGGACTTTAAAAAGGCCTTGATACGAACACGTTCACCCCGTCTCCGTGAACGTTTCCTTTGAGAGAAGGTAGATGGTAAGTGGCGGAGATAATCAGGAAAGTCCTTCGAAAGCGGAGGAGGATTCTCAGGTCTCCATTTAAAATCTTGTGTCTGGTAGTCCAAAGGCCGGAGATTCAAGAGTTTGGCGATCATAGGCAAGTAACGTAGCGACATCAGGGCAGCACATAGACAGAAGGACGACAAACAACAGCGGAGGAGACGGCTTGCCGTGAACACTGGCGCCATCTTGGAACTTTACACAAATATACTATAAATAAGTCTGCACGTTAATAAGCCAACACTCTTATTTTGGTAAGCAGTAATAGTAACTGCATTTGTGGCAGTGCCCAAATATATATGGATCTAAATGCATATTACACATTAGAGGAAAACAGCAACATTTGCATTCCTATTTCCTGTTGCTGAACTGAGTGATGATTACATTACTTGAAGTTTCACATACATATTGAATCATTTCCTACTGGTGAATCACTGCGGCACTGGATCTCCATGGCCCGTTTTATCTCGAGAGCTTGTCGTTGTATTCACATCACTGATTAAATAAGGACTTCATAATGAAGATAAACAGTATGTGAACTGCAAAACCATTTATCCAACACATCAGACTGTGTAATGCATACCTCAATCTTCATTGCGGCAATCTCAATGAGAAAGCCCGTCAGTCTGCAGGGGATAGGGGCCTTGGGGAACTCATACAACTCATTATTTAGCTCGGAAATGGAATTCCCAATCAGCGGTCTCCGAAGCCCCTGCTCCACAGTTTCCCGTTCTGTGCAGTCTGATAATGAACTATGGGCTAGGAGCAATCTTTCTCACATGAATAAGAAAATACACCGACACTTCCTACTTTAGACTTATAAGCCAACATGAATTACAGATACGACTTCAAAGAGAACTATCAGCATACTTGAGTTTATCCATCCATTCTCTTCTGCTTATCCTTGTCAGAGTCGCGGGGGGGGTGGAGCCTATCCCAGCTGTCTTAGGGCAAGAGGCAGGTACACCCTGGACAGGTCGCCAGTCTGTCGCGGGGCTAAGACATAGACACAGACAACCATTCGCACTCACACTGCTAAGGCCATGCCTTATTATTTATTTATTTCATATACATCTACACTATCGTTCTAATGTTTTAGAACACCCCGTTTTTCTACTGTAATTGTTGCAGTTTAATGTCTCATTGCACTCTGAAATGAAAGCATGGTACAAATAAGCAACTGGAGTTAAAAAATAAATCATGGAATTAGTTTATAGACCAAAATATATTCCAAATGTCTGACTCATCAGAGTGGCCACCTTTGGCAGATATAACAGCTGGTTCTTCCCATAAGTGTGTGGCACATGTAGGCTGTTTCCCTTTCACTCTTCTGTCCAGTTTACCATCTTGATCTTTTTATTAGAAAATATTAACACCCTTTAAAAATATATTTACAGATCAAAAGCAGGGACTGTTTAGCTCTTGAAACATTTAAAACAGTAACAGAGATGACCCTGTCCTATAACAAGTTGTGCCATGTGTGGAAAATATTCTTATTGTTACAGCATAATATCATGAGCTTCACCAATATATTATATAGCAACTTTTCTTTTAAATGTAGTGACAAAATCATGGCAAATTGGAATTTTTAAAAATGATATTACAATCTGAAACGGAACAGTAGGAATGACTAGGGCTGGGCCATATTATACCGTTCACGGTAATACCGGTATAATGTTAGGCAACGATAGGAAAATGAAATATCGCGATAGAATGGGAGTAAAACGCGCATGCGCAGTGCCTTTGTTTTCATACGCACATGGCCGATTGTTGAGTGAAACAGATGAACCAGAATTGGTTTGTAAAAATGGTGCAACTTCCGTGATGTGGAACTGGTTTGGTGTTTGTCCGTCAGATACACAACAAAGCACATTTTTTTGCAGAACATGCAAGCGGCCGTTGTTATTGTCGTATTTGTCGGACTAAGATGCTCTTAAATCTGGGAGTAATCTGGGTCCTAAACTCCGTATGCTTCAGGTCAAACAACACTGCAGCATCACTTAGAGTTAAAAACTGTCTAAATTCTTTCATCTTTAATAAAACGATCAGCATTGCTGCTTTACCAGGTGTAACTATAAAGTTTAACTTCCAGGCATCCATGAAAACAAAAGTTATTACATTTAACGGAGTTAGAAGTTAGCAGGAAGCTAGCGGAAGTTAGCTCGCTAGTTTCGCTAGTTACCTAAGCATGATATAGCATGTTCTGACGGAGAGATTTCTGAAAAAAATCAAACGTACAGCTCTGCTATCACTTCCAACATAAATGAAGACAGAAAACTAAACAGCAGTGACGTTTGTAGGGTTACTGAAGTTGGGCTAGCTGGTATATAATGATGTGCTACGTGATCGCTAGCGACACAGCTATGTTAGCATAACATAAACAGTGAAGCTGGAGGACGAACACTAACACTTTTCCACTTATAAAAGTTAACGTGAAGGTTCCTGATGGTTAGAAACAAATGCAATCGCATGGCAGGATGCTGTAAACGGACCAAACTTCAGTCAGGAGAACAACTGAGATAATCCATCCACAATACGAGGTTAGTCATTAATATACTGCAACAACATGGGAATAGAGCAGCTGCCAGAGAATTCAACATTAATGAATCAATGGTACAGAAGTGGAGGAAGCAAGAAGAATGAGTTTAATAAAGTTTGATTTATCTGACTGCTTTGTTTCGCTTAATGTGCCTTATAATCCCGTGCACCTTATGGTCCGAAAAATACGTACTGCACACTGCAGTTTAATGTTGCAAAGCACCTCTTTTTAACTTCAGTGGATATTATACATGGTTATGCTCAGGATATGTCAGCCCATTTCTACTGGAAATGCCTTTTGGTTAAACTTTCAGCAAGGAATTTGCATTTGCACTGTTACATTTTTATAAAGCTTTAATGTACATAAAAACCAGCTTCTTGTTTAAGTGAAAATAAATGGAAGGTTGTCTTTTTGCGCTAGTAATGTTGTGGAGTTGTATTTTGTCTCGCATCAATTATATCATCGGTTATATCGTTATCGCAAATTTTCAAATATATATCGTGATAAATATTTTTGGCCATATCGCCCTGCTCTAGGAATGACCCATATTTGGACCAGTCGTAGCTTGAAATGCTTGAAATGAAAATATCAGTTTTCCTGTCAGCTTCCAAAACCCATTTTGAGCTCGTTTCTCTACCATATTGATTTATGGATTGCAGAGCTAAGTCCAGGGCCTCAACATGCACACATGTTCCAACTTCAAACCTCAACCCGTTTATTTTAAGTCATTCGTGTGGACTCAGGATCTGAATTTTACAGCATCAACACAAACGAATCAATTGATGTCTAGACATGCGGTGAGATCAGTTTGTCTCAGAATTGGTCATTAGCGAGAAAGTGCATTAATATTCTGCGATAATAATAATGCTGTTCATTTGTGATATACATCTACTGAGGAAGAGAACTACTGTGCACTGCAGTACAATAACACTAACCTTTGCTAATGTGAAGATAAGGACTGTGCTTTGGTAAACTAAGAGTTTATCTACGCTGCATTCTTGCAGAACAGACAAACTAAGCATGCCTATCTATACGCAGGCTCTCACCACAATCCTCAGAGCATGGATATTCTTTAAATTATTCAGAGAATACTTACTGGTTTACTGATAGAATAGCTTTAATTGAACAGAAAATGTCTTCTCTAATGTCCGACCTCAGGGTTCCTTTGGCCTTCAAAATGTCCACAAAGAACTGCAAAGAAACAGAGCAGAGAGAGACAAAGGGACATTATCTTCCAGCATTTGTGTTACTCGGTTGTCTCCGATTGGATTTTTTTTGATAAGCAGGTGCTTTTATTGCTGACAACCCTAAAAGTAAAGCTACACAGAAAAACAGGACATTTAACAGCAGCAGGTACTATAAGGCTGGGGTGTTGCTGCCCTACAGCCACTTTCTGACTGCTATGATTATTTTGGAAGAGCCAATTTGAAGCACAAATGCAGAGGGACACTGTCGTACCACAGCACTGACAATAAAGCGACAGCTGTGCTGGTCTCAAGTCATTTGAAGTGAAAATGGGATTAGCAAATTGAATGTGCATTAGGCCTAAAATGACTCCTAATTGGAGTGAACGGATGGGGGGGTGAATAATTGTGTAGAAACTGGGCAGCAGCAGTGAGCAGAAAAAGTCTGTTCTCTCTTTGAGGCAAATATGATTCCACCTCGGGTCTGGTACAACCTCCACAGACGAGCCGATCAGATCTTTATAGATGGGTTCTCAAGCTATGAAAGTGTTCTTGTTTCCTTGAATTATGACAAGTTACTAAGAGAGCAACTTTCAAAGGCGCGATGGAGCAGAGGTGACTGATCAAACCCGTATGCATCCTGGATGATCTTCACCACCCACTGCACCACTAACACACGGGCAGAGGCCCACGTTCCCCAAGACACTGATTCAGCTCCACTCCAACAATGACAATTATAGGAAATATTTTTATACTGAATCCATAAACATTTTATTATACATTACTTCAACTGCCCTAACTAAAGAATTTTCTAAATAAGTATAAATTCAGATGGGGTCAAGAGAGGTTATACTTTCATGCAAAATACATTTATATCGATACAGTTTATGTTACATTACAATTCGACGTGTGAAGGCATAATGTTGGACAACAATAAGAAAATGAAATATGGCGATAGAATATGGGTAAAATGCGCATGTGCAGTGCCTTTGTTTTCATACGCACATGGCGGAAAAAGCATGGCGGCGACGCAGAATGAGAAGAGCGAAAGCGGATCGTTGAATGAAACAGATGAATCTGAACTGGTTTGTAAAAATGCTGCAGCTTCACTGGTGTGGAACTGGTTTAGCTTTCGTCCGTCAGATACACAACAAAGCACTATTTTTGGTAGCGCATGCTAGCGGGCCGTCGTTATTACCGTGTTGTTTGGAAAATACGGCGCACTTAAAATCAATCCTTTGATTTTCCTGAAAGTCGACAGAGCCCCTTATAATCCCGTGTGCCTTATGTATGAACTCTGGTTGTGTTTACTGACCTGGAAATGATTTTATGTGCACGGCGCTCAAAAATCTGTCAAATGTTTCAGTACGACTTTGCTGAGCTACGAAGCCGCACCGCTTGATGGATTGTCGGAGCATTACGGCTATCGTAGGCGGAGCCTCGCGGAGTGATACGTACTGTGCTTCAGCATAATGTTACCGTATTGTGTGTGTATAACGTCTTAAGTTTTGTGGATATTATACATGGTTATGCTGAGGATAGGTCGGCCCATTTCTACTGGAAATGCCTTTTGGTTAAACTTTCAGCAAGGAATTTGCATTTGCACTGTTACATTTTTTATAAAGCTTTAATGTACATAAAAACCAGCTTCTTGTTTAAGTGAAAATAAATGGAAGGTTGTCTTTTTGCGCTAGTAATTTTGTGGAGTTGTATTTTGTCTCGCATCAATTATATCGTCAGTTATATCGTTATCGCAAATTTTCAAATATATATCGTGATAAATATTTTTGGCCATATCGCCCTGCTCTACTCTCCATACCAACACCAGCTAGATGTTTAAATCTTAATATAAATGAGTAACAGTAGGTGGACATTAGGTAAAGCTGCACTTTTTGCAGTGATCTCGTATAGAAAACTATTCCGCGCGTATATACAACAGGTCTGCGGCTCCGAACCGTAGTAAAGGGACCTCTGGCTAATACGTCGGGTTCGTGTCGGGCTCGTAGCCGAAAACTAGCTTTACTTTGTTGTCTGGGTCAACTTTGCTAGCGAGAGACAGAGAGAGGCATTGAAAGGCTGCTCCAACGGGACTTATTGTTTCAGAGGAAAACATGAACACAGCGTACAGTCGAGTCTTAACAGCTTACTTACAGCTGGGCTCGTCAGGCTCTGTTTGGCTGCAGTGGTTATTATTATATTTACATACGTGAAACCAATAAGATCTGTACATTTTCACCAGACCTGATGTGTGTGCAGAATTTCATGGGTTTTTGACCACGTTTAGGCAATTAATTTGCCAAAATAATAAATGGAGCAGATAAAGCTTCATTCATCATACAGTAAATAGAGACACAATAGGGCTACCCCACTTTTAGTGCTCGGACCCTAAATATAGCCAGGATAGCTAATGGAAAATGGTTTAAGCAAAATTCACATAGATTACCTCAGACGAGCCCTCAAGACAATTCTCGGCCTATAAAACCTTTACTGCATGTCATTCACATTTCCTGACTGCACTGTAACTATCCAATAAAGACAAAAGTCAAACAGTATGTGGGTAACCCTAGCATCAAAATCCCGACATTAGTACTAGCACTTAAGTATTCAGACACATAAATCATATTACATTATGAAATATGATGTCGTATGATTTTAAGACCATGAATAGGTCAAATATGCTGTAGTACATACGGTGGAGACCAGTTCCAGCTTTTGGCAGTAGCGTTGTTCTGTTTGCACCATTTCTTTGGCTATTCGACAGAATTTTCTTTGCCACAAGTCCCTCTGCTCCTGGACACTGCTGCACCCAAGAGGATCCAAAGGGCGAGGCAAGAAACTCATCCTCACTGTGACAAGGACAGAACAGAAACACAACCAAAGTGAATTATCTTCCACAGTAAAGGAAAGCAGACCACTAGAGATAAAAGATGTAACGCTTTCCTAAATGACTGAATATTTGTGGACAGATGAATTGAGTTTTGTTTGTTTTTTAAATAATTTGCTTGATATGGTGGAGCATGTGCTTCTGCCCTCTCAGAAAACGGTAACTTCCAAGCATAACACGCATCTGCAGAGTTCAGCTTTGGAAGAAAAAACATCTTTAAAATTAAGTGCAAAACAAGAATGACACATTATTACAATTCTTTGTTGTTTTGTCTGATAAATATCAAGCTCCAATATTGAACCATAAATGAAAGCAAAACACACTACATGGATAAAGTTACTAGGCCGCCAACACAGAACTCCTACAGGTGGTGCTTGGCCATTGAAGCCCATTCCATGAAGCTCCCACTGTGTTGAGAATAATCCCAGAGGCTGTTTGGGAGGCTGCGGTTATTGAATCAATAGAGGATTTATGACTTTTATGCACCATGTGCCTCAGCAGTCAGTAACCTGCCCTGAAACCTTACATGGTATACCATTTCAAAGCTGAGCTGCTACGGTTTCTAAACGCTTCCACTTTGCAGCATCGCCTGGTCATGGACTATCTCAGAGGGAAGAAATTTCACAAATTGACTGTTTGCAACAGTAGCATCTGCTGCAGCATCATTAAAGAGATTACTGTTCAGTAAGTCTTTAGAATAACCAGCAGACTGCAGAACTAGATGCATGCTTGACTTTCTACCTGAGACAGGTAGAAAATGGGACTGGAAACACCCGAATTCAATTCAATTTTAGCACCAAATCACAACAGTCACCTCAAGGCGAGTTCCATTCTACATCTTAAAGAAGTAACATTTCAACGTAAGCAAGTAAAAACTTCTCGTGTTGTCCAGTTATTACATGAATCCCAGAACACAAAGTTTTCTGTTGACTTTGATGTTACTGACATTTGTCGAAATGTTTCATTCAGTTTCAGACTAAATGCTCCAACATCTGTTTCCATTTGAGTCACTCAGTCTTTCAGATGTTTCTAGAACATTTCGTGAACGAGATGTACATCAGCTGTCGAGACCGTTTCTACCGGTTATGAGGACGAAAAAACTTGTCAAAACTTTTTTTCAGCGAATTTATTGTCGCAACAAAACGTCTTTGAATGAGAAGTTAATTACTTTACAGAGATTAATTTGTTTTTATGGTTTGTTTGACGGTAAAGCGACACTAGGCTTACCTTTCTGTAACGTCTCTATTTTCAATCAGGGCGCTCTTTTGGAGATTCTGCTTCCTCTTTCCGGTCTGTGTGGGCAATGACCTTTGTTCCACACGCTGATTGGCTGCTCCGCAAGCGAACTACAGGAAGCACCCCGTTCTCAGCGGAAGTAGTTTTAACGATTCCAAAGTTAAACCAACTGTTTACAGTATAAAACAGATGTTTAAATAAACAGAACAGGTCGTCAGCGCTGTACTAAATAAATATATTAACATATGTCAAGTTTAACACTTGGTTTAAATAAGATGGTGCTTGTCCTGAACATTGCAGCTAAGATCAGTTTACATCAGCAGTGTCAAACTGCTTTTATAAATACAGCCCACTGTGACCTTTAGTGGGCCGGGACCCTTTCTGTCGGTGTAGAGGAAGTTACATATTTAACTGATTTTCTACATGATGAACAAAAAGCTGCTGTGACAGAGAAATAAATCTGACTGCACAACTCTTTGGACTTCAATTGTGAGAAATAAATGTGTGAAGTTACACAGAAGGCTCCATCATTGCCCAGACTGTCCAGTTGTTTCTCAACTGTAGTTGTAAAAAACAAAAAAACAGATTTTTTTTTTATGTCAGAAAGAGAAACAGAAAGTTTTCTGTCATTTCATTTTTTATTCCCAATTACTTTATGTAGCGTGAATGGTCATAAAAGAGGAGTAGGAAGCTGTAAAACTATATAAGTAGTTAATATAAGTCCAAAATGTCTGCTTATGCTTGTTTGTGGTGAGCAGCACAATCAGGCCTGTGAGACTCATTTACACACTGAGCCATGACTCTGTGCTACATGCACACATTTCTGCATCTCCAGTGTTGGGGAGTAACGGAATACATGTACCGCCGTTACATATTTAAAATACAAAATATGAGTAACTGTATTCTGTTACAGTTACCGTTTAAAAAGCTGGTATTTAGAATACAGTTACTTTGCTAAAATAAAGGGATTACACTACAGTCTTTTCCTGTTTCATATGTTAGGCTGTCCCCTCTCTATTTTTGGTAATTCCACGCCGGTGGAAACCCAAACAAAATACGCATTAAGAGGCTCTAATGCCTGTGTCTCAATCTCATAATGACGTGAAGAAATATTTTTTAAAATGATTTAATATGAAGGCAATAGGCAGAGTGTTACAGGCTTTCTATACGAGATCGGTGCAAAAAGTGCAGCCTTACCTAATGTCCACCTACTGTTACTCATTTATATTAAGATTTAAACATCTAGCTGGTGTTGGTGTGGAGAGTAACCTTCAGTAATGAATCACACAGCAATACTTCATTCATGTAGTTGTAAAAAGCATGATAAAATATTAAGTAATCCAAAGTATTCAGAATACGTTACTCTCATTGAGTAACGGAATACGTTACAAAATACATTTTGGGGCATGTAATCTGTAATCTGTAGTGGAATACATTTTAAAAGTAACCTTCCCAACACTGTGAATCTCTGCCATTCAAACACACTTTTGCAGTTTGTGTAATGTTTAATACTGAACTGTGAAATGATTCTTTTTTAGCGATTTTGTTATTCAGTGTTTTCATAACAAACGTATTTTTATGCATTTAGTGAGAACACACATGATGTTTAAGGTCCTGTACAGCTGTTTGTCCTGCACGGTGGAAAATAGCTAAAAACTCAAAACAGGTATGACTTTATCCAGCTCCTAATTTTATAAATTCAATATTCAGCTTTTCAGTGTCCGGCATCATTGAAGTCCAGCCAGATGCTGCTCATTTGAGCTTTGCATTTAAATCTGTCTCCACGTGTCTTTGTGTACCTGGCCTGTACCAATACACTTGCTGATCTCGGACGTCTGACCCCTTCCTTCTTTCACATACTGGTATGATCCCAGTCTGTCTTTGCATGTGATTGGCCGCATGGTGTGCACGTTAAAATAAAGTCCCACCTCTGGCTGCGGGCTGGCTCCCATATACCAACTAACAGCTGACATATGAAACGTGTCCCCTGGTTTAGATAAACTCTGCAGATTAGGGGTGTCAAACATAAGGCCCAAAGCACAGAATGAGCCAGTGTGGGGTTTTTGATTTTGAGCTGTTCAAATTCAAATTCAAATTCAAATTTTATTTGTCACACACACACACAACCATACACAGTATGACATGGGGGTGAAATGCTTGTAGCTGTACAATGCCCGACCATTAAATGATAGAAGAAAAGTTCTACAATATTTACAATTTACTACAAAAATTTACAAATTAACTTAGGAATTTACAGTAAAGAATGTGCAAATAGCAGAAGAGATTATGAAGATAAGGATTATAAATTATAGGAATTATAGGATTATAGGAAATGTGTGGTGGTGCGTGTGGTGACGTGTGTGTGAGTCCAGTCTTATAGTGACGTGTTTGGGAGAGTCCAGTCCTACAGCTGGTTCAGGCCCCGAATAGCCTGGGGGAAGAAGCTCCTCCTCATTCTCTCTGTTTTGGCCTTAAGGGAGCGGAAGCGCTTCTCAGACCTCAACAGTGAGAAGAGTCCATTGTTGGGATGGGAGAGGTCCATCATAATCTTCCTAGCTTTGGACTTGCACCGCTTGGTGTAGATGGACAGCAGGTCAGGGTTAGGGGTTAGGTGTGCTTGTGCATGTTTGATAGCTTGTTCTTTAGTGAAAGACTCCATCTGCTTTGCCATCCATCCGTACACCAAAGCAGTTAAGTAATAGATAAAAGTTATAGTTTTTTTAATCTATCACAGAAGTTTCTGTTTTTATTATAGTGGGTTCACAGTTTAAACAGAACAAAATCCATGAATGAACAAAACCTTTGTTTCACCCCATTTAAGATCAAAGTGGGCTTTATGTGGCCCACAGTGTAAACTAACTGGGAACATTATTTTTAATGGAGGCTCAGCAGTTTGTACCACTGGAACTACCTCCCATCGAGTTTCCCTTCATGTTTTGGACACCATCACTCAACCTACACAAACATCTGTCTCATTGAAAAATATCAACAGACTTCTTCCCTGCATCACAACTACTGCATCCTTTATGTTTTGAATTTACTTTTAAAGTTTCCCTTTGTTCACAGGTTTTATTGAATCACATCACTTTTCACACACAGCTGGATATTACTACATACTTTTGTAGTAAAGAAAAGTTCTTCAGCTGTCACGTTATCTTCAAGTGTCACAGGACACTTCATGTGATGTTGAAATATTCACAAGTACAGCCTGAATCACATTTTCCACTATTCTCTATAAACAAGACAACAAGTGCTATAGGGTCTTACTATATTTAAAACAGAGATAAAGTGACAGTTATATGTACAATAAGTAAAGGATATTCAATCTCGAGCCATTGCAGGCTGCACGCCGTTTTTATACAGCCTTTTCTACAAAAAGCAAAGTACTTCACATGATGCAGTAAAATATTAAATGATATTAAGACAGTATAGTGTGTGTTTAATATTACAGTAAGAGTTTTGCAGCTGTCAGAGAAGAACTAACCCATGATGATTATCAGCCAAGCTGTGTCTGAGCTGGGCTGTTTTAGCCAGTCTCTCGTTTTGTGTTCCTTGTGTCTTTGGGATTTTGTATTATGATTGATGTTTCAGGTTCTCTTTGTTAATCTTAGTTTATTCCATAGGGTCCAGTTTTGTAGTTTAGGTTTCCTGTATTCTCTGTTTAGTTCACTGTGTATTTATTAGGTTCCCCTCGTGTAGCTGCCCTCTGTGTGTGTGTTTATATTGTGATGTTAGTTCTGGCGCCGTGTTCCCACTCGCTGTGTTTCCTCATCACGTCATATTCAGGTTTTTCCATGTTTCAGATTTTTTTGTTTCTTATCCCTAGTGTTTAACGTTTCTAGTTTTTCCAGTTTAGTTCATGTTGGTGTTGCTTTAGTGTCCGTCTGCCTTTGTGTCTTATTTTCGTATCAGCCAATAAATCATCTCGCTTTTCGTTGAGGTCCCACGTTCTCATCTGGTTTGTCTGCATTTAGGTCCTCACTTCAACACATCGGCCACCGAAAGGTGACTCGGAAAAATGCAAGTAAACTCCTGACTTGATCAACAAGGTCCACAAACTTACACTGGATCCAGATGGAATTCGTGTGGTCTCTCTTATGACTGGAAAACTACAACCAGAGGATACTGTCAGAAAACGATCTATTATAGTTGTGTGTATCTATAACTTGTACATAACTTTCTTGTGTAAATGTAAATTTAACTGTGTTATTGTGTAAATACCTTTGCTATTGTGTCATTCACACACATGGAGAGATGCCAAACTGCCTTTCATTGTGTTTGTAACAATGACAATAAAGAGCTATTCTATTCTATTCTATTCTATTCCCTATAGAAAGACTAATATAAGAATAAATCATTGGACAAAACTTTAAATGATTCATTTGAACTTTTTTGTTTTATATAACACTTAAATCTATATAAACTGTTCCACTTTTATTGTTCATGTCATTTTCATTCAATCCATGGTTTTTATGGTTTTCTCCCAGCAACTTTGCGCAGGATGCTCATGTTCTGCAGGTACTGTGGTCTTAAAATAGGATAGTGAGCTAAAATGCTTCAAATTGCTGAACAGATGAAATGCATCTTTAATGGAGAGATTATTAAAATGCATGATTTTGGTAGGCTCTTTATTGTTTTAAATTATATTGTGTTTTCAGCACATTTGGTATTATAATAATTGGCTCCAAAACAGACCTGGGCAAATTAGGCTTCTTTTGCCTCGAGGCGATGAAGGCATAAAGCGTGCAGGAGACCACAGACAAAGGCTCTGCTGGTTTTTACCTGAGGACGGGGAAAAGTAAAAGCATCAATAATCTACCAAGTGGAGGAACTCTCCCAAGGTTTTGGAGTGTTTTTGTGTTATTCATAGCTGCTGTAGCCTATAGACTCATAATTGACCTCTGCACTTTGTAAAAATATTTTTAAAAAACTTTATGAGATGAAAGATGGTGATGTTTTGTAATTCAACTTTTAAGTCCCCCTTCTCCCCAATCCAATAGTATTGAATTGCAAGTCATGAATTATTCAACGCACAGGAGGCGAGGCTACCTTA